CCAAAATGTGCCAAATAGAAAAATATAACGTGTTACCTATGTTTTTTTCTGAGTTACGCTTTTTTGGAAATGTTCAGTGGCCCAAATTATGCGAAATAACTCCTTTAAAAATTTAATCCTCTTTTCGTAAAATAGTGTCTTTATACGAGTAGTATTTAGTTCCTTCAAACGATGTATTTTAATGTGCATACATCATGAAAATTTTGTACAAAATTCCTTAGGCGCCGAACGCCGCCGCCGCCGCCGCCGCGCCGATATTTACGTAACTCGGCGGCGGCGCGTGAGAAATGACAAAAAACGGCGGCGGCGGCGGCGTGGCTCGGCGGCGTATACCTCTAGTACATACACACAGAACAACAACTACTAGTTGAACTAAAGAAGAGATTCCGCTGAGACTTACCTAACTAAGAACCAACAATGATTTAGCACTGCATTATATGAGTTTTTGGGATTTTTTGTTTAACAAAAGACTCGCTTTCTGATGCCAAAGTGAAGCGTGATTTGGTCGCGTTTCGAAGGCAAAGTTGAAGAAAAAAAATTAAATGCAGGCATTAACGTATTTTCATAAGCATTTTTGGTGGCTCTCATGGATATTTGAATCGCCATATGAAAGTCCAACATCCTTTCGTGATTTTGGAGAATGACGAAAGAATGAATACGATTGAATTATGTCGTTATTGCAAAAGAACCTCGACATCTACAGAAAATTTATTTTTTACTTCACAGATTAATTCAATTTTTTATATGTACATATGTGTTATAACCCAGCAAACAGTTAGGTTTGATACATGGTGGAATAATAACATCATGGGTTTGATATACATTTGAGAATGATTTGAAATCAAAGCCTTTCTGAAATGTCAAACGTTTGAAAAGGATTTGATATTGATTTGAAAATTACTGCTTTCTCAATAACTAGGGGAGTTTGATCTCCATTTGAGAATATCGTTAACTCTCAAATCAATTTCAAATTTTTTTTATCAATTGTACTTCAAATGTGGAAATAAAACATCAACAAAAGAAACAAGAAAGAAGATGTTTTTAATAAAGAAATCGCCCATGAGGA